CTAGCTAAATATAAAACTAGTGCTTAGTGTGAGGTGGATCCTTATAGACTCAGTGGTCATATTCCACTGTGTCTTCTTTTTTCTTTATACTGTGATGGCTAGACCTGTTTGATGCAAGCTATAAATAATAGCGGCGGTGAATGCCTCTGTTTGGCTGGATGTTTTAATGAGAGGAGACCTGGCATAACTGAGTCTGCATGATTATGGGATTCTGTCATATATTGCCATCTTGAATTGGAGCATTACCTTTGCCATGTAGCATAAAGTGATTGAAAATTCAGTTTTACTATTCAGACTGAAAACAAAATTATACATGTATTATGACACCTATGACACAAAATGTAGACTAATAATATTTCAGTATGTTTTATTAAACTTTTATGAACTTATTTCACAAACCAAGTAATGAAACACACAAAATCTGTTTTCAATTTTTCTCATTCAATTAAACTTTTTTTTTTTGTTATACTGATTAATCTGAATAAGGGGTTACAATCGGGCAACTACTGTAATGATGACATTAAATGATTGATTACCCAACAGACATTTTCTGCTTTCTCACTTTAAGCTGTGAGCTTTGCTTACAAAATCAAAACAACTGTGAACTGGGTGTACCTAATATGAGCTATTAGTTCAATAAACTTGCTCCAGCTTGTAGTTCAACGGCAGCAAATAGAAGGCATTATAGCCATCATTAGACATGTCAGAATGAATTTCCACATGCTCAGGCTTCACGGTGCACAGTCAGAACATGTATTATTTTTCATCCTATTAGGAGCAAGAAAATGGTGGTGCAGAGGTATAAAAGCAGCTATACTCCTGCACTGCAGCTCCTGTGGTATATGTTGCAATAATGCGATTTTTGAAATACGGGCATTCCCAGAAGAAGAAAAAAAACAAAAAACAAAAAACAAAAAAAAAACCAAAAAAAACCCCAACCAAACAACCAAACAAAAAAAACCCCACCAAAACATAGAAAGAGATACTGGAGTTTATTGGAAAGCTTATAGTTGTTTTTATCTCATTAAGGATTTTTTTCTCATGTTTCTTGTCTGAAGCTTTATGTTGTGAGCTACTCTGCTTGATGACACTGTCCTCTTTAAACAAAAGCGCCCATGCCCCCTACCCAGTCAGTGGAGAGGAACTGCTGCTTTTGAAGTCTTCAGAGGGTCCTTCAGAAGCCTTGGGCTTGTATCTGTCTTTGTTCCAAGCAGTCTGTTTATTTGACTGTAAATAAAGTGCCATTTACAGACAGAAGTTAGGAAGTGGATTTTTACTTGCCCGACTAATCTCTCATTGTGATCATAGAAGTCTGTCACCAGAAGCTATTAAAATCCAGATAGTGAATTAATTTTCTTTATTTCAAGATTTTTAAATTATCAAAGTTCATTGCCTGAAGGCAGCAACAGATACTGAATCTTTCCAGTCTAGAATGTACAGTATTTTGAACCAAGATGCTTCAATGATTGGCACCCTTGTAATGCATAAGAGACCCTCTTATTCGGGCACAGGCTTAAAATAGGTCCGCAGCAAACTTAGTATTTTCTCTTTTTTGGCTACAAATGCTTGGATTTCTTGTTCTGAATACTGTATTTAGATACACATACAAAATGGATAAAAGATGTCGCTATATAGTGTAAGCACTGTATAAGAATGAGGACAACAGCCGGCAAATGCCTCGTATATCATTGCAAGTATATACTTGCTGGGCCCAAACCAAGTAAGATTTGTGTGGAGCAGCTCTTAAAATAAAAAACCTGCTAATGATTATAAAAATGTGGAGTTTAAAATTGCTGTGACTGAAATATGTTGAAACTAAGGTTCACTTAATAATGTTCGTGGTGAGCCGGAGTGTATTTGCCAGGTTTTCTACTTTGTTTTTTGCAAAGCAGTCATGAGTGAGAGGCAAAGCTGATCCACAAGAATGCTGGAGATGACAGAGTGTCTTCAGAGGCAGGGAATTTTCTGGTTGCTTTTTTGCTCTTTTATTTTTGTTCTCCTTGACTGCCTGCCTGGTCAGACGGTGAGGTTGATAGAGGTAGTTTTGAGATGAGGCCTGTGGCCTGGCAGACACTTTTCCCATTATTCCAGGTGAAAATTTTTGCCTTCAAGGAGCAGTGCTTTGTTGCTGCAGTAGTGCAAATGACTAAAAAGAATAAAATCAAGCCCCAGTGGTGAAGGGGAAGGATGAGTGAAAGGGTTCAGGGAGGAGACAGGATGGGAGACTGGGGAGAAAAAAAAGAGCATTGCTTCCCTAAGCCATGATGAGGCCCAGAGAAACGGCAGGGAGTTGAAGCAGCAGCAGGCTGGGCCATCTTTGCTCCTTGGGTTCAGCCCCTGTCTTGGAGAAGGGAGGAGCAAAAGAGAGGCCCTGAAAGGTGCAGGAAGAGATGCTGCGGCGCCCACGGGAGGGCAAGGGGGGAGGCGGACAGGCAGCATGTAACCCAGCACGCCTTGTGCTGACCCCCGCCTGACTTGTCGTAGCTCCGTAGGGGAATTTGGAACCGGCACGGGGACTTCCCTTCAGGCTTTTGGCTGTGACATCTGGTGTCTGTAGTTTTATCCAGTTCCAGAAATTTTTGCGCTGGCTGTAGCATTTAATAAAACCCTTGCCTTGGACACAATTTGAAAGATCTTCCATGCGTTTGCACCAAAGTTGACCAATGCACTTAGAAGACATTTAGCAAAGTTACCGTTTGGCTAATTGTGTGATTTGCTAATAACTGTGTAACAGAGTCCAGACAGTCAACGGTTTTTCTCTAGATGTTGTTGGATATGGGGTCAGATTGGAAATGTTTATCATTCTAGTATAGTTCTGGCTCTTCATTTGAAAGCCAGGGTTTATTTTCATGTGCACAATATAACTTGGAGAGTTATTCTTCTGTATTTACATGTGGGATGGCATTGCAGTGTAATCTCCTGTGGCCTCTGAGAATGGGGCACTGCTGCATTGTGTTTGATTTCTGACTGAGGATAATGTAGTTTGAAAAAAAAAAGACCGAAAAATAAACCTAGGATGTGACGTGAGCAAAATGTTTTGATCACAAAAGAATTACTGGCAATAGGCAATATCTGTCTCAACTCCTTTTTTTCCCTCTCCCCAAAACCCAGACTTGAACTATGAATACATGTGGTTGTGTTTAGTGTCAAAAGTATTGCAAAACACAGAGTGATATGTCTGTATACATTCTCTAGTCTTAAATAACATGACTCAGGAAATATATTCATCTTAAAGGATGTTTCTCAAGGAACTACACTTTTAGCAAAGGGTGATTGCTTGCTTTCCAGAGGCCAGCTGTAGATAGCGGTTGTTTGAAATAACTAATATATGATTTCCTGTTTTGAGTTTGTGGTAAAAAAGTAGTAACTGTGAATTGTATTTAGTCTTCTGCTAGTAACGTTTGTGTTTTCTATTCTATACGGGCAAAGGTACAAAATTCACTGAAATTTTTTACATGTCATGAATTTTGCCTGCAAACCTGCAGTTGTGGAATTGATGTTCTCACTGTGATGCTATTATTGTAGTTACTGTTACATCTAAGCTACTGTGATGGGCTGTTTGATGCTTATATCATGCCTGTTAACCTCTCTTCCAAAGCTGGTTTTGGGACCTGGAAGAGAGTGATACCAACAATGGCCTCTATGCCCATCAAAACTAGAGAAACATGTAGAATTTAAGCTTATATTTTTAAGATGCCAAAGATCAGCACATTTCTCCTTAAAGGTTCCCTGTTATGAGGGATTACCATAAAGGCTGCCACTTTAGTACACAGTGACTCATACTAAATAACTATGCTGAGGTATGTTTTGTGTGTAGAGCAGATAAAACTCATTCTGCCTGGGTACACAGGAAGGAAGGGGAAACGTGAGAGATGCTGTTTCATCTGTGAGCAACTCCATGAGCCTGCCTTACCTGGGAACCTCAGGCAGTAACTGCACAGTGCAACCACCGGTTATGATTTCTTTTGTCACCACCATTTTTGAAAAGTTGTCAGGAGCCCTGAGATTTTCCTCATCTGGGCTGTAGCTTGCTCCTGGGACCTCACCATTGTCTCAGTCTTTCCACCTCCAAGCTTGGGGAGGAGATGTCTACTCCTGGCTGTTAGGGCACCCTGGCGCTTTTCCTGCAGCTTGTCTAGGGGACATTCTACTAGATGTCCACCTACAGCTCTTGGATCAGAAAGCAACCACGTCTTTCATGAATGAAGAGTGGGCCCCTACACCCTGCAAACTTGAGATGCTTAGGATCTTGTCCCCAGCCCATGCTGCCAGTTCCCCAAAAAATGGCATGGAGTGGCATACCCTTATTCCTAGGCATACGAGTGCCCAGGGAAAAGCGATTAATACCATGACCACAGCAAAGTGGAGCTTCGGTGTTAAGTCTCATGATTTATTAATGCAGTTCTATCTTTCATGTTTGTATTTCTAAGTTTTCCTGTTTGGACAACTGTTCAGGCTGTTTGGACTGAAAACAAAGGCTTCTGGCATGATAATGAAATTACTCAAAAATGCAGATTTTCTGAGGCAGTAAATAATCTGAAGTTGCAGATAGACACTAGAATACAAACAGTATTAGCAGTTACAGTCAGTGCCTTTTCATTTTAATGTATCTCAGCAAGCTATTGATGTGTTTGCTGTGCCATAAGCTTAACTTATGACTTAAGGTAAAGGATTATAGCAGACCTCTGAATCATATATCTTGCCTCCCTTCAGCTAGAACATTTTAATTAGTAGTCCTGCAACTTTTGTTAAGGCAAACAGTGAATGAGTCATTGATCTCTGCCCACAATATTATAACACCTGTAAAGAGTGCTAGACAGGCATTACACATGGGCAAATATGAACTGTAGACAAAAGGTTGTTTTTCTTCTTGCACATGTTAAAGACTACATTTTATTTTCTTCTATCTAGGGAGCTGGCACAGACGAAGAGTCTTTTTCAGTGGGATCAAAATTCTTCTTTAATTGTTTCTGTGTTAACCATAATCCTTCTTTTAACAGGCATTCTTCATAACTTCTGTGAAGCCTACAATGTTGGGCTCCTAGAAGCAAAAATATTTTCTGGTCCATCAAGAGGGCAGTTTGGATATGCAGTTCAACAGTTTATAAATGAACAAGGCAAATGGTAAGCAGTTTGAACACCTTGTTATATGTCCAGCTAAAAAATTAAGGAAAAAATGTTGCACCTTGTTTTTCTTTAGTAATTCCAAATTTCATTTAATTTCATTGCAGTTAATTCCTTTTAGTATTACAGTTGTCTTTTTACTAGTAAATACTTATTAACACAAAAGTGAAAATATTCTGAAGATATATGCATGTGAAAATTCAGGCTTTTTTCCTTTACACAATGTGGTCTGAGGTCTTTCTTTGTTTTAATCTTTTACTTTCATCTCCAGTATACCAGTTTTCTCAGACTCAAAATTCCTATAGAATTTTAACTCTCATTTCATTCTTTCCTTTACCAACAGCACTTCTGTTGCACATTACGTATATGTTGGATATTTTTCCATTTTCACATTGTTGAGGTTAAAACAAATTATTGGGGCTGAGAAACTCTAGTTACGAATATTAAAATTAAGGAAACGTAAATTTATATAATTTTGTGTCTGATATAGTATTGTGTTCGCTTCACAAAGGATATTTGGCTGTATATATAATAACACAATCTTAGCAAAGGCCTTGTATCCACTGCATCTCGTCAGCCATAAAATTTGATGTGAAACCCACTGTTGCCACAACATTGGGCTTGATGAGTAATTAGTAAAATATTATTTCTAGTAATGCTAGTTTCAATAAGAACTTTAAAATACTAACCCAGAGTAAATACACATTGTTTCCTTTTCTGCTGCCTCAGCAACCACAAAGCTTAAGTGTCTATCAGGGCAAGGACTATGTGTCTATAAGTAGTTCACTGGTACTCAACTACTTTAAGGGGTTATTCGTGTATACATGGTTTTAAGTCTCTAGGGGAAAGTCACACAAGTTATATGTATTATCATAGCCAATACAACGTTTTAGATGTTGAACAGATAAACTGAAACAAGGTCAGAAACAAATAGCCACAAACTGGCATGTTTGTTTAACTGATGATGAATGATTGGTAAATAACTGAACTTTTTTCAGTAAAAAGTAAGATGTCAGAATCTGAAATACATGGAAATGTAGATGAAAATGTATCTTACGCTTCAAGTTTGGAAAAGCCCATACAAAAATAATGAGCTAGATGAGACATTTATGCATAGCCCTGCACAGAGACACTGTGCAGTTGCAACAGGTTGCATATGAAAAGATGTAAGACTACATAGGTCCCACTGTATCTCTGGTACTTCTGTATTTACTGCCAGTCACCAGGGGGCAAAATAAGTGGAGAGCAGAGCTATATCCTCCAAATTGGGAACTCTATGTTTCCTTTCCCTCTGTTGGGTAGGCTCCCAACCTACCCCCACTCCTCGCTGATGTGGTGGTGGCTTCTAACTGTGTTTCTGCCTGCTTTAGTTATGTGTTTAGTCACCCATAGATCAGAGCTCTCTTTTTTTAAAACTTCTGTGTAAAGCCATTGAAGGAGAACAAGAATGTCTGCCTGAAGTAAATTGAATGCTTTGACTCATACGTGGAGAAATTATGTCTTGTGTTTTGTGCTTCTTGTAGGTTTTTCTATAAGCTTTCAACAGGAACACTAGGTTCCAGATTCACACAAGCTATTTGTTTTATATTTCCCTGTTTTATTTGTACTTCTGATTTAAAACCTCCTCCACTAGTGCTTTCTTGGATAATGTGTGTTGGAGTTTGGGAAAGCAACTTGGATTAACTTTTCCTGTCTTCTCCCAGGGATGTGAGTATTATGAATCTGGGAAGCTTTTCTGTAGATAGGCACTTCATAATTTGTTCGTTCACTGCTTCGTGCCTGACCGTGTCTCCAAAAGTCAGAGGAGTTTCATCAGCTCTTGTTTGAGTAACCATGACTTGTTGGAGACTCTTCAGTGAAAAAAGCTCTTTTCAGTCTTCCTCTCAATAAATCATTAGACAAGCTAAAACAAAACAACAACAACAACAAAATATCCATGATTTAATCTCTTGTTTGCTTAGTTTACAGCTATTTTCTTTTTCTTGGGAAAACAGAGCTTTTTCTTGTGTGCATTATTTAAATGCACACAAATGAACCCGAAACATTCAAGCTGTTCAGTAGAGTTGGTTTCTCCTAAAGCAACGTGGAGGCTGCAGTCCACATGCAGAGCACTTGTTGACATGGCTGAACTAGGAGTGAGAAAAACAAACCGAGCCTTGCATAAGATTGGGACACTGCTTTCTGTCAGAGGGGAGCATTTGTCATTATACGCTTTTATGAAGAGACCATCATTGTGCAGCAAGGGTGTGATGCACTTGAAAACTCTGTTCAGGCATAGTGGGGCAGCTCAGTGCATCAAAAGCTGCTTGGGTAGCACCTCTCTCCAAGGAAGAGGTTATCCAGAATCTGAGATCCACCAGAAATTTCATCACTTCCTAGACCTTGCTTCTGGTTATAAAATCACATGGTGCTAGATTAAATCCTCCTGTACTCTCTCAAAGAGCAGAAAGGAGAGAGAGAAAAAACTGGCAGATGCTAGTTATATTATTCAACTGTATATCTGGGAGGAATATCTCCTGAAGCAATAAGGGCTACAGAAAATGATAAGAGAGATTTTTTGCAGAATTTGGACTGCATGCAGTACTATGTTATCACTTTTGCTTGGAGATGAGTTCAGAGAGGAGGGAAGACAGTCCAACCAGGCAGGCAGAGCTATAGACGAGGCTGGTACATGTTGGGAAGCTGTGACACAAACCAGCAAGGGAGCCGTTTTTGTGTAGAGTCAGATGATCCAGGATAATTGGACACTAGTCTGCTGTGCATTGATGGGCATTGATGGCATGTGATGCTCGTAAATAAGGACAAGCTTGCAAGTCAAGCACAGCTCAAGCTTTTCATGGTGTCTGGTGGGAATTTCAAAACAGGGGCTCTTTAATGAACTCAAGGAAAATTGTGAACACCAAAGAAACTCATCAATTATAAAAGTTTAGGCAGTCCACTACAAAAATAATTAGCCACAACAGAAACATTCAGTTCACGCTCTGATTCTCCTTGTCATGAGATCGTCTGTATTTGAGCCTTAAATTGAGACCAAATTCTCTGTTGTTTTATAAACATAATCTTTAGAAAGGTGAATTGTACCCTGTCAAATTTGTCTTTAATGTGCATGCCCTGAACAGCAGCTGATGGTACCTTCTGCAAAGGTAATTAACAGTTCTTGCTCCATGCTGAGATTTGGGGTTGTATGTATCTCAGGTGAAGAAGATTGAATAGCTGTATATAGCTGTTAAAATGCTTTTTCCCACCCATATGTGTCTTCAGTCTGTGGATACATCCCACTACGGATGTAAAATCTCAGTCTGCTCTTGAGATACTGTTTGGTATCAAGTTGCAGCCACCCTGCACTGTTGTGTCCACATACTTAGGATATGGAATTTTTAAATTTTGTTCTGGAATTTATGTTATGGTATTTTTCTTCTTTTAAATATTTTGTTTCCTTTCATATCATGTCAGTAATGACACCTTAATATGCAGCGCCCTTACTGATGTATCACCTTAATCATGCACTACTACATAGTTTTTAAAATCATTGCATACTGCTCACTAGTTATCAAAGCCCAGCAGCCTTTCTCCTGAGACGGTGTGTTGCCTCTTCAGACCAATAAGATGTTTTCCCAAAAAGACAAATTTCTGTACCAGCTTTTGTTGAAATCAATAATTTTTCAAAGCCTTCTGATTTTAATGAGGGAGGGTAATTTCTGACAACTTTTTTTTTTTTTTTTTAACAAAATGCTGCCGTTGTTACAGCTCCATCCTTTCAGTGCCAGCACCACTACTAACACTGAGTTCTTTGCCCAGTTTTGCTTCCCTTGACTGCTTGCCTTTCTTCTGCTTGGAGAAGCAGCTCTGGCTTCTGTCTTCTAGGCCTTTTGTCAGTCAAACTCTCTTGCCGTAGCTCGCTGTAGTTGTTGAAGTTTTGTCTTTTGTACAAAGGATCAAAAGTTTTAGATGGTGGTAACTGTTTTAGGGTGTGCAGAGAAACATCCATGAGAATGAAGAGTTTTCTGGTCTTCATATCTATTTATCACTTCCTGTAATTGTAGAGAAAAGGGCCAGATGATTTAAGAGGCCCTTTCTACTTCTATTTACCTATTTCCTATTAGTCATCTTTGTGTTTAAAAAAAAAACCCCACACTAAAGAGCCAATGCATTAAAAGGAAGAAAAGCAGAAAATATAAAATGTGCTCTGACAACAGCTGGGAATTCATCGCTTCTCTGTGAATTCTGATTTTGTTTTCTGCTACATCACACTTTACCAGTTACTAGCTTTGTCATGGTGTAATTTCCCAGAAATAATTCCTGTTGCACTTTGATGTGCCACTCCTGCGGCCTGTGTGGTATGGCATTGCCGCTGAACTTTATTTGACTTCATGTAGTTCTACTGCTTTGTATACAGCGTTGGAGGCTGATTAAGGAGCTGAATAATAAAATCAGTGGCAGTATTACATGCTAATCACTACAGTATTGTGTAAAGATTGTCTACAAGGACACACAAGGAAGTTTTGTAAAAATAAATATTTAACTCAAGGCTGAAAAAGACCCTTAAGTAATACACTATACATGATACAGTTTATTTGGAAACAAGCATATTCAAGTATTCTAGTACTAATTTCTTGCATTCTTTCCTGATAGATTCTGTTTCACTCTGCTTCATGTGCATCCAGTTCAAGCACAGTAAAAAAAATATTTTTGTAGTTCACAGGATGCTAGCTAGACACTCTCTTGCTTTCTTCACTTGTCATGTTTTGGAGAGATACACATGCATTTTCTCAGAGCAGTATTGTTCAACTCTCTGCTGTGATGGTTTATGTTAATTTTCAAAAAGGAAGTAGGACTTGCTGATTTCTAATAGAGATTAAAGTTAGTATTAAGCTTAAGTAAGGCTTAGGATACAGAAGAAGTAAGAATTATTTCCTAGGACCTTTAAGTTTGATAATTGAAAGTAGAGGGTTAAGGTTGGCAGAAGTTGTTTAATAACTTTTTCTCAGGAGCGCATTGATGGCAGATTAGACTAGTCAAGTCAAATAAGGGAGGGGATTTAATAGGTCTGTTCATTTCTGAAAATCACAGTGTCGGTGATAGTGGGTTCTAAGTGTCAAATTCTGTGTATGGAGTGGCATTTTTTTACCTATTGCTAGTTATGGCATTAAGATTCATGGACACTACAAATCTACAAGGAAGGCTAATATAGCAAAGAGGTAGGCAGTATAATAACTTCCAATGAACTATGAGGAGTGCAAGCTAAATGAAAGACAAAATTAAGTTTGCTGTGGGCACAGTTGGCATAGATTTAGATTTGGTATTAAAATTATAAGAGTTTGTCTTGTTTGGTTACATTTTTCTGTTTGTACCACGCAACAGCTACAAAGTTAGTTTTAGGGCTAGCAAAAGTAAAATACAGTTGTGAATATTAAATTCTAGAAGTGGATTGGATATAAAGAATGATGGTTCTTTGATATAAACTGATGTATGGGTTGGAATTAATGTTGATGTTGGGGAAAACAGGAGTTTCAGAGCCCACATTACTGCTGAGCAGCATGAAGGCCATGGAGTGAGTGCAGATATACGTGCAGAAAGGGAGAGAAGTGTTTTTTCTAAACTCTGTGCAGGGTGCTTGTCTCTAGTTTATGCCAATAGCAAAGGTGAGGGTTGGGGTTAGGCTTGGAGTTCAGCTTGGTTTTGGGGACAGCTAGTGTTCAAGCACGCTTCTCCTCCTCTTTTCTTCCTCTTGTTCTCACTCTGAATGAAACTACATGCTTGGGCTTCAGAATAACCCCTGGATGCAGAGCGATGCCAGTGTGGTGCACAGATTTACAGTGACTTTTGTGACCAGGCAGAGTGGTGCAGGGGTATTTCCAAGATCCATTAAGGTAATTCTTTGAGCAGGGACTCTGAAATACATTTACCTTCTGTGAAACTTAGAAAAAAAAGATACAAATATTTATAAATGTGCACAGTGCAATGTTCAGCCTGATAGTGAAAGCTAAAAAGCTGTTGAAGTTTCAGATATTCCACGTGCAGTTCAGCCATCCTTTTTAGAACTGTTTTCTGTTTCCATTAAAACAGTTAGCCCTTCCTCTCTCCCATCAGCCCAATTAACATTTTATAACTGTAAATAAATCTGTAGTACCTAACAAGGGGGCAGACTGTAACACCATGCCTTTGTTTTGTCAGTCACTATTGACCGGCTCCAGCCCTCTGTGTCACTGCAAGTGTTTGCAGGTTCTGTCATCTATTGGCACATGACCAATCAACTAGTTTCTCATGAGCTCTGGGTATTTGGTCCTGAGCTGTGCAGAAAAGGCTGTATTCCCCAGAAAACAATAAGAAGATCACAGGCCTCCTCACAGCTAGTGTAACATACACTGTTTTTATAGAGAGAGGTATTTATATGAATCTGACTTGCAGAGATTTAGAGATACTAGAAATACACAAAATCCTGTTCCTGCTGCCTGCATAATCAGATTTTCACCAAGGTAATTGAGAGAGAGGTAGGTATTTTGTAAAATATTGCTACACACAGAAAATAGAATCTAAAGTTACCCCTAACTGAACTGGTAAAATGGAATAACATTATTTATGCTCTTAAATTGGTGTTTGATTGAGATGAAGTAGACTAAAAAAAAAAATGCAGTTAGCAGTATTTTCATTGAGAAAGCTAAAAAGGTCTCAAATTGTTGCTTGTGCATGTAAAACTGTGTATTTTTGTCAAAGCCATTTTATTTAAACTAGTTCTAAAATTGCAGCAGTAAGATCAGATAATCCCTGGAAATGTAGTATGATATATAGCTATTGTTTTGAAGCATAATAAAATGTGTTCTTTTTATAGTGCAAGCTATTTGCACTAGCTACCTATACAATTTTAGAAGATCGTAATTTTATTTTTAGCAACCTATTGACCAACTAAAAAAGATTCTTATGAAACTCAATCTTTAGCAGTGGGGTCCCATTGCTTGTTCTTTTTACTGTCCCATACATGCAGTAATTGCTACCATAAACTGTTCTTTATGAAAGGAAAGTCATATTGCTGCTGGAGCAAATACCCACAGTCTCTGCTTTCTAACAATCCGTTTATTTTTTTCATATCCCTTCAGGTCATCTTCCTATGGTCATGTATTGCCTTACCCTTATTCCTTCAGATTAAACTGCATAAAGAGTTGTCCTTCTCCTACAGCCCTATACTGTCTGGTGGTTTCACTCTCTTGAGAGTTGTGCTGAAATATAGGTGTTCTTAAGCAGTATTCCTAGGGGGTGAATTAATCAGTTTTGTGAAGGCTTTTGGATAAAAATTAAAAGGATCTTGAGGAGCAGATATTGGAGGGCAGATGAAGGAATGAGTCAGGGAAGGTGAATCACTTTGTGTTGTAGGGAAAATATTAACTTTGTTGTTCATGATTAAGTACTTCATGCAGCAGACTGTTATCACCTGCAATATTTTCTTTCTGACTTAGTGTTGTCAAGGTGTGGTAGTGTTCAAGCTCAGACATAAGCGTTTGACTGTTGCTGAGCAGATCCTTGTAGGAAATGCTTCTTGTCAGCTAAAAGAATAACTTAAAAAGGAATCAGTTAACTGTTAACTGACAGGACAATACATTTTTTGTCTCTCAGTCCCCAGTGTATTATTTTCTAAATTTGTATGCATCCGTATGTGTTAACATCTTCGCTGTATTTCTTCTGACACTACCACATAATGTCACAGAAACAACAGTACACGTATTTGAGGCAGCCTAATTCCCAGAGGATTCTCCAGTGAAGTTGCTCCTGGTGAGTCCAGGGCAGTAACCTGCAGGTAAAGGGGTTGAACAGCTCTGGAGAAGGCTCCCGAGTGCCTTAGCTGCTGTACTTGGTAAAAGCCTCTTTACCTGTTACCTACCATGTGCTGTGCAAGAACACTGCTGGACTTTCCCAGTATCATTACAGATCTAATGAATTTCCTGTTGCTTTAGGTTGTTGGTTGGTTCACCCTGGAGCGGCTATCCCGCTAACAGAACTGGAGATATCTACACATGTCCTGTTGGTACATCCAAAACCACCTGTAAAAAGTTGAATTTGCAAGGTAAGTGGTAATGAATAATGCCTTGCTACAATTGTTCAGTTTTTTCTTATTTTTGTACCAGGCCAATCTATCTTGTTACAGCTTAACTATCCCCCTGTATAACCGCAGACTGTTGTGCGGGTGCTTGTGTGTGTGAGCATCCTGCACGGGCTCCGTGCCAGCCGCAGGCAAGACCCCTGCGTGTGTCTGAGGGAGGGCTGGTGCCTTAGCAGGGCTCAGGACCTCGGGTCTGTGTGTGTGTGGTGCGTCCTTGCTATGCGTGTGTGTCTCGGGTACGTGCTCAGCTTCACCACTGGTGTCACTGCTGGTCCCTCAGCCCGGGCAGAGGCCACGGGTCCCGGGGCACTGGGCTGGGCTACTGTGGACAGGCAGGAGGGTTCTGCGCCAAGAGCAGCTGGAGGAGGCCGCCAGGCTCTTAACATAACTCAACGCTTGTTATGTTCCCATTTTGAATAGCACTTAGTGAATATGTGTTATATGAAGCCTTTTCTGACTCTGTGTGTTTGCAGCCAGAGTATAAAATGGGATTCACTTTCAGATACAGTGAAAATATGGGGCAGTAGCATGTCCCGAGATGCCTACTTTACGTTTATTTGTGGTGTGGAGCATTTCTGTCCTCCACCACTCCTTCCAGGCTTTTGTCTAAAGCCTGATACTGGATCAGAGGAGTTTGGTGTCCTGAGGAATGTAACAGTAGCTGCTCGGCTGCAGCTATTCACCCAGCCAAAAATACTCAGTAGGTAGACCTTTTCTTCCTCTCTTTTGCCTTCAGCTTTCTTGAGGGCAGGTACTCTAAATGGCTATAGTTAATTCATGTCTATAGTTAATGGTTAGCAGATTTTTGACAAAGATTAGCTTTTGTTTCCGTTGTCTCAGAATTGTATGCAGCCATTTGGAAAAGGTGTCTTAGACTCTGAGAAATCAAGCTTTCAAAAAGAAACTGTAACTGAATTGCTTCTACATCTTATTCACTATTCTGTCATTACTTAATCTCTTTTTATTTCAGCTTTAATAAATGTTCCAAATGTGACTGAGATAAAGGAAGACATGAACCTTGGCTTGACTCTGATACAGAACCCAAAAACGGGGGGATTTTTGGTATGTAACAAGGATGTATTCAGAACAGACAGAAATTCCTGAGGAGAATAAAGAAACTAGAATTCTCCACATTTTTTTGAAAAATCCAAGATGAATGTATTTTATTATATGGTGTAGATCAATACATATTTTGCATATTTTAAAATATTCCATCCCACTGTTATATACCTAGGGTCCAAAATAAGGAAAATCACAAATTCCCTCCTTCATCATTTATCTAAATATCCTATGGAAGAGCACATAATTAAAATTTCTCAAATTTGATGAAATAGACAAGAATATTTCCACATGGACGTCTTTAAGGCAATCTTGTATAACTCTGATTATGCTTTCAAAACACAGTTTCCTCTACCATACACACTTGCACAGTGACTGTTCTCCTGAGGTGTTAGGATGCATAGCCCTGTGGATCTGCGATGCGTTTTATTCAGTTAGTGAGCTGCAGGAGGATGCATTTTCTGTGTATATTCTGCAAACCACTCTCACGGGAGCCTGCAAAGCAGATATCATAATTGAAAGGAAGTTAATGTCAATTTAATACGCCTTTTTACAATCTTAACTGTAAGCATGAAAACAGTTGCTGTGTAGGTGTATTCCAGTTTGATGCATACATTGGAGGCATGTACAGCAATTAAGTGAAACAATAAACTACAGACAAAAGAGCTTTGAGGCTCCCTTTAAGCTTTGTGTTTTTCTGTTACATCTTCCTAGTAATCGCAAAAGCATTCAAATGTTTATTATCTTCATTATCAAATAGCCTGGTTCGTGGAAGTTCTTAAAAGTAGGTCTAATTCCAACCTTTCCAGCAGCTTTCTTGGAGTTTGTAGAGTTCATCATAACTTCAAAATATAGCAACAGTGCTCTTCTTGATTGTTTATTTGAGAAGATATTGATTAAAAAAATCTTATTCTGTCTCTTGGATAATACCTTTAATTGCTGTTAATACTGTCCCAGGAATACCCAATTTCAATCACTATCAGTAAATGCAGTGATTTAAAACATCTCATGCAGAAAAATTTGTATCTTCTGATAGTACTTCTCTCAATTAAAAAGAATTTCCTGATCCATACATTATTGATTGACTTTGCCTAAATTGCATGAAGTGAAAAAAAAAGAAGTGGACTGCTGAGACCTGAACAGTTAAGCCACATCTTTGGTGACACGAGTTTTGTTTTTTTTTGACATAAGGAGAATGGGGTACTAGAAACAGGTGCTTGTCTGTGGCTCAGCCTCCACAAATACTAAAAGCCCCATGTCTTAGTTATGGCAAGAACTGGACAACAAACGGAGGCCGTATGCTTGTAATTGCAAGCTGCTTCCAGCCAGGACTTCTCTCCAAGCTGCTGTCTCTGTCAGCTGGCCTTGGTGGTGGCCTCTTTGGCCATCCTCCCAGCTCACTGTGCTCCTTCCTCCTGTGGCTGCTTCTCCCTCAGCCTTCATCCATTTGCAGCAGTCTGTGCTGCATCCCTGGGCTGGAGCATGACCCGTGCTGGTATGTCTGTGCCGTAGCTTGTGAGTCCAGCTAGTTCAGCTGTGTGGTGCCATGTGATTGCATCCCACAGGTATCCTAAGTACAGGGCAGTAATTTCCACATGCTCGTTACATTTTTCTGAGGCATGCTTAGTCCTGTTGGAAAGGTGCTTAGGAATTTCAGTGATGCTCAGCTGTTTTCCAGATTTCTGATCTAAGTTTCTATCTGTTCTTGGGGCAGTACTGTGCCTTTAGTTGAACAGATCCCATCTGCCTAGATGTAAAATCTCTCTTCTGTATTTAATATCCCACAATCGTCCTCTTTTGTCTGTCACTTTACTCAACAAACACAGAGTTTTTTGGCTAAAATGCACTTTTATAGAATATACCTCGCTCAAACATGAATGACCAGATCTATGCTGTATTCCACATGAGTCTTTCCAGGGCACTATATAGTGTATTCAGTGTTTTCCTGTCTCAACTGAAAGTGCTTCTTGTCACGTATCTTTAGGCCATATTTGCTTTGCATGCTGGCTGCACGCTTATGGTCATCAGTGCCTGATCCATCTCCTCCTCTCTCTTCCACTCAGTGAGCTCCCAGTTTGTGTCCACGTTTCTTAACATTAGTCTTTAAGGGCAGGTCTGTCCCCCTTTCTCATATTCCACTTTTCAAGTTCATCAGTTCTTGATATGTGATCTCCCAGTTTTCCCCTGCATTAATGATGCATCTGAGATTTCTGACTCTAACAATGCTAGAACATTAGAGCTTTTAATTTTTTTTTTCTTTTTAGACTGAAGATCAGTGAAGTTTGTTTCTATTTTTTGGTCCAAGATTAACATCACAATTTTGAGTTACCACTAATACAGAAGAAAAATAGAAAATCGGCAAATGAGATTGATCTAAAAAGAAATTTAAATTAAAAATAACTTTAGTTTAAAAACTAGTAAGTGTCCTCCAGCTTCACAGTTACCAATATAGATGATTTATTTTGTACCTCTCATTGCTGTAAATGTCTATCTTTTCCAGTAAAACTAATCATGCCCCACGTAGCAGCTAAAAAGGCCACTTATCTCAAGATCGGATAGCACAGATATACTTGCTCTTCTCTTGTCTTGCCTTCTGGTGAAATATGTTAGGATAGTTTGATGTGGTCTACCACTAGTAACCCAGTGTGTGACTTAGCTCATTTTCCATTTACTTCTGCCATTAATTACCTTATTTTCAATATTATTGAGAGAAGCATAATAATGCTGTTCACTCTTTCTTCTCTTCCTAAGTAGAGATGGTGCATTTTCTGTTTTCCAGGCTCTCCTGACTGGATAGGGCAATCAGAAAGTACATGTAATGAAGTTACAATTTCTTTCAGAACTGTTGGACAGAGATTATGTAGACGTTATGTTTTTTCCTTGAGTTCCTAACACGATTTTCTTCTAAAAAGAGAATCCTTTCCCCCCAGATACCCTCATGACAGAATGCTCAGTATCTGTCCTTTACCTGGGTACTTTTGTAACGAAAGTCCTTCGAGTATCGGAGGTGTGGCTGTCATGCAGCCAGCTGGTTCATCCAGCTGAAAACATTTCTTTTTCCGGAGATCATTTCAGCAAAGAAGCGATATTATCTTCCCCAGAAGGCAATGAAACACATAGCCAAGGGGTATGTGAGGCCAGGGCCAAACTTCTCCTTTTAGCTGCAGCTAAATATGACAGTGCATACTATGAGGCTACACCCTCCCTGGAAATGAAAAAGAAGTTTAAATATTTTGGCAAAGTGAATTTCCCTTGGGAACAAGGCTTCTCTAATTAATAAATGTGCGTGTCTGTGCACTGATCACAAAACTCTTCAGTGTGGTCAGTGTTGGTGGTAATCGGATATACCACCAGAAAAGCTCCTCTGTGCGCGTTTGCAGAGACGTGCATGCTCGTGGCTCTGATGCCACCTCCTGGTTAGTGGAAGTAGTTCTCTGCACGCTTATAAGCGATGTGCAAGTAAATACCAGCCCTAGTTTTAAACCCACAGTTTGTAGAGCAGGTGGCTTAAAGCAGGACAGATTCCTTGCAGACCAAGTCACAGTCCCTAGATGCTGTAGCTGCATGTAGTCTGGAGGGGCCAGCTTGCAGAAGGAGGCACTAGAACGATCATGAATAGAAATTCCTTTAATGAGAAAGTCTATGAAAGGGATTACAGTGTCACTGTGATTGCAAGGGATTTGGCCTGATAACACAAGAGAGCTTCTCTGATCGTATATGCCTGTAGTCCTGCTTATTGTGCTTTTATATATGGATGTGGTGAGACAAGTATTTGTTATTTTTATAGTTTCTTTTTGTTATTTTTAAAGACTTGTGGTCCTTTGTGGGCACAGCAGTGTGGAAGCCAATACTATGCAACAGGAGTCTGTTCTGAAATCAGTCCAAGTTTCCAGATCCTAAGAAGCTTTTCTCCTGCTGTTCAAAGTAAGGCAACATGTGCAAAACAGGTTCAATTAAAAAAACATGTCAAACAAAAATCAAGATACATTGTGTTGGGGGCTTTTAATTTGGGATTTTTAAAAAGATATATGTGTGAAAAGCAAAGTTCTGTGATTCACATGTAAGGACTGACAAATCATGATCCAATGCTGATATGAATATGGACTCACTCCTCCAAATTTGGGGGCAATGCACCATCGCAGGCTTAAAATCTGCGTATGCTTCTAATGAGTCCTCGTTCTGGCAAAACCTTCCCAATCTCAAGTGTTGCTTGTGTGAGACCTAAATATGCACCTCTGGATTTAGCCAAAGAGTTGTAAGTATATTGAGACTGAAAGTGCATTTAATCTCCACTTTTTATTTTTGTTTTAGAGTGTTCCTCTGTCATAGATATTGTGGTGGTTTGTGATGAGTCAAACAGCATTTATCCCTGGGATGCAGTGCAGGCATTTCTGAAAAAATTTGTACAAGGCTTAGACATAGGCCTAAACAAAACCCAGGTAAGTCAAAGACATATTTGAGAAGGACAAAAAAAAAAAAGCCCCCGTAATGGGTTATATGAGCAATTTTAAAGGAATCCAGGTGTGCTTTAATGTAACTATAGTATGTCCCCCAAAGACACAGATTATGCAGTTGTCTTGTATCTTTCAGTATTGGGTTTTTTATCTCACAGCTAACCTATTTAAAAGAGATTAGTAATTTGGTTCAAAACATAAACCAACTGAAACAGAAGTCCTATGTTACATCTAGTGTAGTCAGATGTCTTTCATGCATTTGGTGTAAAAGTAATTAAAATGCCATCTGTGGGGATGTGGTAAAAGTAGGACAGATTTTTTGTGGGCTTTTCATACAGCTCTTCCTTTCCACCTGCTGCATCTTTAAAACAGGAGTTTTCCCTGCTTGGTTACTGTCTGATCTTTGAGTTATTTTCTCCTTTTAATTTGGTGATGGTAGGGAAAAATTTATTGCCTTTTTTTAAACATTTTCTGTCTTTACAGTTGTCCATTTTCCAGAAACAGTTCTGGGAACAAAGACTGGGGCACTGGAAATCTCTCTCCCAAAGGCTGCCTTCTTCCTTGGGCGACTTTGGAAGTGAGGTGCTTAAAAGCTAGGCTTCCTGCTCAGTCCTTTCTGAACTTCACTTTTAGCATCTTCTCTTTTTTTTTTTTTTTTCTTTCATACTGAATGTACATCTTAGCATATGTCTCTAGCTTCACCTCTATTAAAAATAAATAGGGTTTGCCATGCTGTCAAGTAACTAACCTTTAGGATTTCCGTAGAAGAGATAAGATTGAGGTGCTGTCAGCTTGTAGACTTTTTGCTATTTTCTCCTTTTTCCCAGAGCTCCCTTTATTATTGCTATCCATCAGCTCTTCCAGAAGTAACCAAGTAAACATTTAATTCCTGTTTCAGATTGTTTGCATTAACATTTTGTAGTCCATAATAAGTGACATAAGGTGCAAGACGATTTTCTTTTTCTTTGCTTTCAAAACGCGTTAATATTAATTGGTTTTGTGTGTTGAAAGAAAATTATAACTCCATGTATATCTGCAGATCTTTTACTCCAACCTGACAAATAAGTAAGCATCATGATTCTGTGTAACTGATTGTAATGCGGGATAGTTTAACACAATTTCTTTATTGCATAGGTGGGTTTAATTCAGTATGCTAATGATCCCCGGGTAGTGTTCAACTTGAATACATATCAAACAAAGGATGAGGTTGTTAAAGCAATGGACAGAACATACCAGAAGGGAGGAGATCTGACTAATACTTTCAAAGCCATTGACAATGCAAGGTAAAACACATCAATGATTGCGTGGAACTATTGTAACTTACCTTACAAGGAAAGGGGCACATCCTGAATTTCATTCCCACTGGGAGTGCATGTGCTCGGAGCCGCTGAGGAGGTTCCCAGTGCCAGGTAGAATCCCTCAGGCACATTTACAGGGCCCCGTGCAGAACAGTACAGGGATATGCAAACTAGACTTGCTGAAAAGTGTGCCTTTAACCATTGGGTTAAGCTCCACATGAAAGTAGTTCCGGTACCCAGCAGAATTGTTTGGGCTGTTATAGGTGTCTATAAACATCACAGTTCATCAAACACCATGGACAAGCTTTTAGGAAAAATACGAACCCATTGAAAGAAGTAAAGTTTATCCAGGGATTCAGTGGAACCAGTTGTCAGTTTGTCACTGCAGCAGCAGCAGCATGAAAAACAGGAAAAACTTCAAACAATGTACCATGACTCTGCATACATGTATGGTTCAGGTCTGTTTCTCAATAGGAAGATCCTATTTTGCAGTTGAATCAAGGAAATAAATGTAGGCCAAAATACGTGCTGAATCAAATGGCCTTGAAAATCTTGTTTAAGGAGGGACTCAGCCCTCAGTGGAATCTATATTTGCAGTAGTAGTGAGGAACCTGTTATTAATACTCTTACCCTTTTATTTGAACGTGGTGAAGCCAATTCCTGGCTACTGTAGTGTTAGAAAACATTAATAGTTCTGACAAAAAAAACCTTTTTATTGAGAAACATTTGTACAAAATAAATTGTTTTCCCTGGAATGTACATTTCTGTCAGAAATACCATCCAGTCCTACTTGTTTTTGGTGTTTTTTACTTCTTTGATTATATTTCTGATGGCTCTTTGAACAGTGCTTTGAGAAGAAGCTATCAGGAGCATAATTGAAAATTCTTATTGCAGATTGTTAATTTCCAAATAAAAAGCACTACAGGTGCACCTTGTTCTAAGTCAGTGATGGATGTATTCATTACAGTATATATACAAAATTCCATTCATTATAAATTGACATGTGAAAAATCCAATATTTTATAACAGACAGTATGCCTTCTCACCTGAATCGGGAGGACGTCCAACTGCCACAAAAGTAATGGTTGTTGTGACAGATGGTGAATCACATGATGGCTCGAACTTGAAAACAGTGATAGGTAAATGCAATGAAGACAATATAACCAGATTTGGCATTGCTGTAAGTAATACTATAATTACATACTATTGCAGTTTTTGAAGATCATTTTGTTATCTATGTATGAAAATGTATGTTCTATATATAAGCTGTATATAATATATGCATTGTTACACTGGTGAGACTGAAACTAGGTGAAATTAATGCTTATGAACTAGTGAAATACTCATGTTTTGTGACTGGCTGAAAAAGCAGAACCAGTATTACCTAAGCAACTTCAGTGGTTTTCTCCTTTGCCTTGTGTTATGTATTTTTCCTGTCTGAGTGCTCCCTAGTGGGAATATAGTCTGATGAGCAATTCAGTAATATGAATGAAGGTAATTTTTTTAAAAAAATATGTAGAGTATTTACTCAAATAATGTAGAGGGAAATGGAGTAACAGCATGATTTCCTTCACTCTTCTTATTTTGTTCTTTTTTACCCAAGGTTTTGGGATACTTAATCAGGCATGAACTTGATACTAAAAACTTAATTAAAGAAATCAAAGGAATTGCTAGTCATCCAACAGAGAAGTATTTCTTTAATGTGTCATCGGAGGCTGCACTACTGGAAGAAGCAGGAACACTTGGAGAACGCATTTTTAGTATAGAAGGTAAAATACTCAATGTCGCTGAAAAATTATATCAGAGTCTCACAGCTGATGAGCTAAGGATTTTATTTAGCTTCACCGTAGTGTAGTACTGTGAAAATGAGGGGCAGCTGGAGCTGCTGGCTGCTCCCTGCTCCCCAGGTGGGCTCTGGTTTTTACAGGTGTTCCCATAGGTACCCCACCCCTAGTGAGCCTGAGCTTCAAGTTAGTTTCTGCTGTTTGTGGGAAATATTCCTCAGTTGCTGAAAATTTCAGTTACATCCTGGGCTTCCAGCATCCACTGGAGGCTTGTCCATATGCATCCAAATGTATTTGGAGCTGTTGCCACTGGAGGAGTAAAGGTATCTTCATGCTTGTCAGATTCACCTGTGTTTTTCTGTTCATGCTAAGCAACTGTGAATTTAAAAAGCAAATCAGAAGACTAGGTTACTGATTACAATAACTGAAAAGCTACAGTAACGCAATCTGTGTGGCATCTACCAGGTGCTGTCCCTAGAATCACCCACAGTCCTCTGTGTACTGTTTGGAGGAAGGTGCTGTAGAGGTGACTCGGAGCCACTTCATCCCCCTCAAAAGCCAGCTTCCTAAAGTCAAATTTAGACCATGCTTGGGAGACCTTGTGACCTGTCCTCAGCCCTTCCTAAGGAGCTTTTCATGGCTACAGGCTCCCCGTGCTCACGATGAAATCTTCCCTTTGCTTTCACCTCTGTCTATTCTTTACCAGGCCCATGCTGCTAATCAAGTTAAGGGGATCAGATGAGCTCCTTCTCTTGGGATTTTTGTACTCCTGTTGAATTACTGTTACTTGAGTCCCATCCGTCTTGCTCAGGAAATATTCCTTCACATCACAGTATTTTTCAAGACAACTACAACAGTTTTATAAGTCCTATATAATAATAAACATCCATTTTAAAGCTGCGAATATACATTTATTAAAGCTACTAATTTCAGGGTATTATTAGTGCTTCCTAGGAAACATAGATTACCCACAGTGACAACACTCTTTAGACTGATTCAAGCCATCTTTTATCATCATCTTCTGCCTTTTTTTGGAAGAGACTCATAGCATCATGGCTTCATTTTACCAATTTGACATTAAATCCTTCAAGTATTCTACAGTTTATTAGCTCTCAGATTTCTCTTGTTCATAAATTTTGGAAATGTTTTGGCAGAATTGATGGATTTAGAAAAAATAACATACAGTCACTGTATAGCTACACTTATAGGCATCAGTATTGGATCTCTTGTGGGGTTCTCTACGGTTAATGATATGTTGGTTTTGCCAGGTACAGATCAAGGTGATACATTCCAAATGGAAATGTCACAGGTGGGCTTCAGTGCATATTACTCACAAAAAAAGGTATGTGAGTTTAATTATTTAATGACTCAAATAGATCTAATTACATAGATATGAATGTTTAGAAGTGCAACAAAATAAGACTAGTAAGACACAACAACCAAATTAAAGGGATTTTACAAGCAGGAGAATGTAAAATTATAATTTTTTTAAAAAATTTGAATACCACAATAATTACTTCTAATAGATGCTATATATCCCTAAAATGAAAAATATACATTAATAAATGAAGGTGAGTAATAGTTTCTTTCATGTAATGATTTTGAGACGTGTTAATACAAATGGCAAAAATTAAGAAAGATTTGGGGGTTTATTCAGGAAAATTACACATGCAATTTTACCGCATTTTTCTATAGCAGTATCTCAGTTCAGTAAAGAATTTTAATAGTGTGAATATTCTAAACTATGTTTCTCTTATGTGTACACCTCTAAGTTCAAGTATTTCTGTATTAAATGTTCTTTAAGACACATTATTTTGGATTTTAGATTTTTAACTGTTCTCTTAAATACATCTTCTCCTTACAATACACTTAAAGAATGACATTCTGTATATTTTTCTGTCAGCTTTTGTGTCCTGTCATTGGCATTTTTGTTGGCAAAAAGTGGGCTTTATTTTTTTCTTATGGTTTTGTCTGCCTGATCCTCAGTCTTCTGAGAATCATGAGTGCATAAAAGCATTGACTTGCCAAGCCCAACCCCAGAGTGGATGAGCTTAGGAAATTATCACATTGCTTAAATAAACTCATTTTATCTTGCGTTGCAGTGCCCTGGGAGCTAAAGCAGTCATTTATGCTCTTGCAGTAGAGGGGGGATAATCCTTCTTAATAGGGCAATAACATCCTGCATGTGAATGGTACCTGCAAGCAGCTCCAGTCAACTGCTTGCAGTCATTAGACTGTACATCACTGCCTTAAATACAGTGATGTGAGAAATTACATATGGCAACTTCAGCTTTGAATCATAGAATCATAGAATCATGAA